CTTCGCCCTTTCCCCTTCCGCCTGTTTGGGGATGGGTCCCATAGGGCTCCTGGGACCTCCAGGGGTGGCGTGGGGCCCGAAGTGGCTCCGCGCCCGCTGTTCTGCCTCCTGGGGCTCGCGCGCGCTGCGCACGCCCTGCACGGGGACGGCCCTCGTAAGCCCTCTGGGACAGGCCCAGAGGAGGCCTCGGGCTTTGGCGCCTCAGTGGTGCCCCCTCCAGCCTTTATAGGCCCCGCAGAACCAGAACCAGAACCAGATGCCAACAAACTGCAACGCAAGAACATGAAAAGCAACAGAAACTGCAAATCTGAAGCTGAAGCTCCAGCACCAAGCCAGACCAGCCGGACATGCAACAAAAAACTGCAACGCAACAGACAACTGCAAAGCAACAACTTAATTCAATGTAAAACAAGCTGCGTTTCGGCCGTAGTCGTTGGCGATGCCTCCCTGGACCTCCTGTAAACTACTCTCGCCCGAATCCTCAGCAAAAGCTTCGGCACTAAGCTCATACTAGACCAACGGGACAATCCACACCATAGTCAAACCAACATGCAATACAAAATAAACTGCGCAGCAAGAACAACTGCTAAGCAAAAAACAACGTTTTATCGGTGGTCGTAGTCGTTGGCGCTCCCTCCCTGGACCTCCCCTAAACAACTCTCGCCCGAATCCTAAGCTAAAGCTTCAGGACTAAGCGCAAGCCAGACCAACCAGACCAGCCAGACCAGACCTGAAGCTTAAAGCTCAAGCTTAAGGCTGAAGCCTCAAGCTTGCTCTTCGGAAGCTTGGCGCCCCGCCGTGCGCCACACGGCCAAGAACTTCATACCACGAGGCACGTCCCAGGAGCAGGCTGGCAGCAAGCAGACCGGTGCAGCCCGCCACTGCGCCCGCGGATTCGGAACACGCGTGCTAATGCTGTGCGGCACCCGCTGGTCCACCGAAGCCAGCTGGCACGCGGGCCGAGACGCGGAGCGGGGGCAGAGGCTCGCTAAAGGCGCTGTCCACGAGGGCTGGCGAGCGAGACCTCCACACCCACAGCGGGCCAGCCTGAGTGCTGCGGGCCATCTGTGCTCGACTCTTTGGCCCTTTGGGGTGCCCCGACGCCGCCGACGAGCGACGACAATGCCGACGTCACCGCCACCGCCGCCGACGAGCGACGACCACGACCACGACGACGAGCGACGACGGCCGACGCCACCGGCGTCGCCCGTTCCGCAAAAGCCACCGCCGTCGCCGACTCCGCCGCCGATGCCGACGAACGGCAGCAACGCCGACGCCACCGCCGTCGCCGATTCCGCCGCCGATTCCGCCGCCGCCAACGACGCGACGAGCGACGAGCGACGAGCGAGCGACGAGCGACGACGACGACGACGACGACGACGAGCGACGACGAGCGACGACGAGCGTCGACGGACGACGCCTGCGCCTCCAGCAGCGGGCCGCGCCGCGGCCCCCCGCCGCCAGGCCACAGGCCGCCGCGGCCGCCGCCATGCGCGGCCGCCGCCGCGCGGCCGCCGCCGCGCGCCGCAGCGCCACCGCCTCCGCGGGCGCGTGCGGGGCCGCCGCGGGCGCGTGCGGCGCGCCGCGGGCGGGCCGCCCGTTGGGCGGGGCGCGCTGGGGCCACATGGGGCGGGGGGGCCTGCCGCGGCCTCGGGCCGAGGGCGCCTGCGGACGGCGGCGGCCCCGGCGGGCGCGGGCGCGGCGGCGGCGGAGGCACAGCGGCGCAACGGCGACGGCGGCGGCCGCGGCGGTGGCGCGGCAGCGGCGACAGCGACGGCGGCGACCGGGGGCGGCAACGGCGGCGAATACGAGACGGCGCGTGGAAATCTTGGACTGAGTACCGGGCACAAGCTCGGGAGGGGGAGGGGGAGCGGGAGGAGGGGGCGAGGAGGGGGAGGAGGAGGAGGAGGAACGATCAAAGGAAGGAAAAAACAGGAGGGGAAACGGCAGAGGGCAGGGAGGGACACGCAGAGGAGGGAGGAGGGAGGAGGACGCGGAAGGAGAGAAATAGAAGAGAAGAGACAAGCTAGGCGCGCCCGCGCCGAGGCGGGAGTCGAAGAACTGCTTGATCCCAGTGGTATGTCCCGGCACCTGGCTTTCTAAGCATAGCGAAGCACGGCACGAAAGAGACACCCCTGGGGAGACACACGATGCACATGCAGAAGTTCTGCGGAAGTCCATGTGGCATACGCTGCATGGGGATAGCCACTTTTGCTGATGCAGGGCTGCGGCCAACGCTGCGGCGAGAGCACCGCTCCAGTGGAGATCGGCGGAAATTGAGAAATGTAGCAATCCCGACAGATTGATCGTCACGCTCACTGGTGCACGAGCACGAGCACGATCACCACTGCCACATCTGCGGCGACAACATCGCTCCGTTGGACAGATGCTCAATGGTGAACACAAGTCTGGCACCTGCGCCAGCTAGAGCCAAACTTCTCCAAAACAGCGAGCGCTTTGATTGCATGCACGAGAACGACCACCACTGCCACACCTGCGGCGACAACATCGCTCCGCCGTTGAACAGATGCTCAGTGGTGAAGAAAAATCTGGCAAGCGCGTCAGCGAGAGCCAATCTTCTCCAAAGCAACGGTAGCTTTGATTGTGTGTAAGAGAGTGGCCGCCACTGCCATCAATCACTGTTTTGGAGTCCCGAAACGGTGCGGTGACAGACCGTGCGGTGACCTCGAAACCCCAAGAGATCTCAACGCACGGTCCGTCACCGCACGGTCTTGGGACCCTAGAGGCCCCTGTCGCCCGAGACGTCCTCGGAGAGGGACTCGAGTCCCAAAACCGTGCGGTGACCCCGAATCCCCACCGACTCACCGCACGGTGTGGTCACCGCACCGTTTGGGGGCCCCCGAACTGTGGAGACAACGTCCTTCCGTTGGACCGGGATAGCAAACCCACCAGCGAGAGCACCACTTCTCAGAGGCAGACAAGAATCGGCTTGCAAACAAACGCATCGACAAATAACTCCATCCCACCCTGTGCACCAAAACACACAAATGGGCCGCGGTCCGATCGCCCCACTGCCCCGTCAAAACCTGTGATCCCTTTTCTGGTCCGCGGCAAGGGTTAGGTCGGGCCTGTCCCCCTACATGGGGATTTTGGACGACTAATGAAAAAATAGCCGAAACATATCCCAAAAATACGCCAAAATAGTCAACACATCATCCCAAAACCATTTTTCTTAGTATTTTTGAATATTCCCCCTGTGGAGGGACAGGCCCGACTTAAGGCAAGGGCGCGCGCACATCGCGTTCTGGCAGCCGGCGAGCCGCGCGGGAGCCACTGGCACACACGGCAAGCCAGGGAGAAAAGAAAGGGCCGCGGCGGAAGAGAAAAGCGGGAGGAGGCCTCAATGCGTTGAGAATCCTCGATGCGAGGAGCGCGCGCCGGGACGCAATGAATGACAGAAGCATGAAGACTTTGAGGTCTCTGCAGACTCCTCGGATCGGCGCAGGGGCCCCCTGGCGCGCCTCTGGCGCCGCCCCTGGCGCGCTCCCCGCGCCAGGGAGGGGGGGTCCAGCGCAGATCCGAGAAATGCGCGCGGACCTCAGAGTTTTAAGGTGTATGTCAACGTGTGTTCCCCGAGTGCAGGCGGCCTTAGGCTTCGGAGGCCGGTGCAACGACAGGTGTGCAATCAGGAAACCTGTGAACACACAGTGTGCGGCATAGTCCGTTCCTCAGACCAGCACAATATCAGGGCAGGGAGGGGAGTGCAGAAGGGCTGCTGCAAAAAGGAGCGCGGAATACGAAACGAAGCCCCTCTTGTTGGCCCCGAGGCGCCTGCGTGCACGAGGAGGGCCAGAGGAATCAAGGGCCCAAGGAACATCGCGCCCCTTCCGAACACAGAGCGGTCCTCAGTTTAGCGTCTTGGCCGTCGTGCCCTTCACGTGCTGCGGCTGCGGAGACACGGTGGGGAGGGCCAGGAGCGGCCCGGGTGATTCGCAGCATGCCGGACGATGCCCAACGCCACCGGTGCGGTGCTCCTTCCGTGCTCTGTCTGTGCGGTTGGTTGGCTGGCCAGCCCACCACGGTCGAGGTCGCGGGGGTGCCCGCGGGGGTGCGGGGAGGGCAGCAGGAGGGGAGGAGCGAGGAGAAGGGAAGAGAGGAAGAGGGCAGGAGGAGAACAGGATCAGGGAGTTGTCAGGGAGAGGGGAGAGGAAAGGGAGGGTGAGGAGGAAGCGGACGAGGACGAACGGAAAGAGGAGTTGCCACTCACCGACCCAGGGAAGGTCGCCAGGGCATAACCCACTGGCTAAGGAGGAGGGCAAGGAAAATTACAGGGAGGATGAAGAGGAAGGTCAAGGGGGAGAAAGGGGACAAGGGAAGGTAAGGGGGGAGGAGAGTCACTGGGGGAAGGAGGGGTCAGAGCGGAAAGGACAGAGAAGGTGGAGGATGAGGATGCGGAAAATAATTAGGATAACCGAGGCGGATGCGCTGCAAACGGACGGAGCAGGAGGAGGAAGAGAAGGGAGACGACAACGGCGCAACTCCCACGGAAAGGGCCGCCAACAACGATCAGAATACAGCGGAACACCAGCGGTCCGCCAGCGCCGGCACCAGAGAGAGAGGGGTAGGCATCGAGGAGCACCGAGGACAGGGATGACGCAGGAGGGGCGCGCCGAATCGGCGCGCCGAGGGGGGGAATCGACGTCGAATCGGTGCGCCCAAGGGGGAGGTGGAAGGGGGCCAGCCCTCTCAGAAGGTGGCTGGGCCTCCTGGAAGCCCCCCAGTCTTCCCGCGAAGCCCTCCCGTGGCCTCGGGGAGGAGCAGGAGGAGAGAAGGGGTCCGATGAGGAGCATCGAGGAGCGCCGGCCAGAGCCTAGCGCGAGAGGACCGAGCGAGGGCGACGGCCGAGCGGGCGCGGACCGAGCGAGCGATGACCGAGCGGGCGAGGACCGAGCGAGCAACGCGCGCTCGGGCGCGCACCTCGGGCGCCCCCGCGCGAGCCGCCCGCGGAGGGTCGGGCGCAGCCCCTCGCCGCCGCCGCCTCACGCGCTCGACGATGCCGCGGCGTCGCGGCGGAGGCTGAAGGCCGCCACCGCCTTCGCCTTGCGGGCGCGGGGGCGTCGCCGCCGCGGCTGCCGCCACGGGCGCGGCACTCCTCCTCCTCCTCCTCCTCCTCCTCCTCCGACGTACGCCTCCTCCTCCTCCAACTCCTCCTCCTCCTCCTCCTCCTCCTCCTCCTCCTCCTCCTCCTCCCTCCCTCCCTCCCTCCTCCCTCCCTCCCTCCCTCCCTCACTTGCTCCTCTCCTCCTCCTCGTCCTCATCCTCATCCTCCTCCTCCTCCTCCCTTCCTCCCTCCCTCCCTCCCTCCTAATTACCTCCCTCCTTCCGCCTCCCTCCTCCCTCCTGCCTCCTCCTCCTCCCTCCTGCCTCCTCCTCCTCCTTTTCCTCCTCCTCCCTCCTTCTCCTCCTCCTCCTCCTCCTCCTTCTCCTCCTCCTCCTCCTCCTCCGCTGTCGCCCAAATGGTTCGGGCGTCGCTTAAGGGGGGCGATCAATGGGGGGGAGGAAGGTGCACTTCTCGGGCCCTCAGGGCCCCCTTTGGGGCCCAAAAAGGGCCGCTTGAGGGGCCCTGAAAGGCCTCGCTTCTGCAACCCTCGCTGCCCCCCAATTGACCCCCCCCCATTACTCGATGCCCAAGTGTTCGTCGTCGTCGTCGTCGTCGTCGTCGTCGTCGTCGCGGCCGCTGGGCTGCGTTGTCGGCGTCGATGGCCCCATCTGTCGGCGTCGTCGTCTTCGTCGCTGCGCCGCCCTCGCCGTCGCCGCCCTCGCCGCTGCCGTCCTCGCCGCCGCCGCCCTCGCCGCCCTCGCTGCCGCCGCCGCTGTGGCCGTCGCCGCCGTCGCCGCCGTCGTCGCCGCCGTCGTCGTAAGCAGCGGCGGCTCACCATTGGCGCGAGAGGATGCGCTGCGGGCATCGTGGACGTTGGGTGGGGGGGGCGGGGCCGGTCACGGGCGCTCAGTGCGAACGGAGGAGGAGGAGGCGGAGGAGGAGGCGGAAGAGGAGGCGGAGGAGGAGGCGGAGGAGGAGGAGGCGGAGGAGGAGGCGGAGGAGGAAGAGGAGGAGGAGGAGCTCCGTGGCAGCGGTCGTCTCTGCAGCCGCCTGCCCACTGCGCACGGCGGGGCGCGCCTGGGCACCCTGCGCCCCGCGTCGCCCGCCCAGGAGGTGCCGAGGCGCTCCGTCGTGGCCGCCCACGCGGGCCTCCATGGCGCTCGGGCCTTCCTCGCAAGGATTAGCTCGGCCCGATCGATCCGTTTCGAGATGCCAATGTCCGTAGTAGAAGGGAGGGGGTCGTCGCCAGGGTCCTGGCTCGAGGCGTTGCGGAGCCGTTCCTCGATGCGATCTGCATAATTGTGCCACGGTCTGCGCATCGAGGCCCGACGGCGCAGGGGCCCCGGCGGACGGGTGCTTCTCGAGGCGACAGCGTCCAGCAAGCTGGTGGGCAGCCAGTCGCAGTTGTTGTCATCCGCAACGGCACCCCATCCTCGGCGGCGAGCGAGGGGGGTAGAGAGAAGGAGGAGGCCTTCTCAGAAGCCTCGGAAGGACGTCCCCCGGCCTTCTGAGAAGTGCTTCAAAACCTCTCGGGAGGAGCGACGGCTTCTGAGAAGTCCCGCCGCCTTCTGCGAAGGCCTTCTCCTTCTGACTCCCCCCCCTCGCTCGCGAGCCGACACTCCGCAGGGAGAAAAAAACGATCGCTTGGCCCTGCTCCCGAGGCGTTCTCGAAGCGTCGGCAGGGGGCGAGGGCGCTGGGAGGCTCCCGGGCGTCCTCCTCGAGCCGTGAGGCGGCCTGGGCCCCACGAGCCTGGAATGCGCCAGGGTACGCGTGTGCACACGCTGCGCTGGGCCGCCAAGGAGCCCACGAAAGGGGCGACCCTTGCGCAGGGGGGGCAGCACCCCCACGGAGCCGCGGGGTCTGGTCTGGTGGCGCGCACGTCCCCACCGCGCTGGGCCTCCCAGGAGCACTCGAAAGTGGCGACAGCTGCGCTGGGGGAAACACCCCCCTGGAGCCGCGACGCCTAGCCTGGGTGTGCGCATGTCCCCACTCAGCCGGAGCGCACTGAAGTGGCGGCGATTGCGCAGTTCGCAGCCACAAAGCAGGAGAGGTAGGAGGAGGACAGCAAGGAGGAGGAGGAGGAGGAGGAGGAGGAGGCGGAGGAGGAAGAGGAGGAGGAGGAGGAGGAGTGGGAGGAGGAGGGGAGGAGGAGGAGAAGCGGAGGGAGAAGGCACTTGGAGGAAGAAAAGCTCTGTTCAAAGCAAGAAACCAACACGGGAGGGTCAGAAACAATTCGTCGAAGATCTGGGCCTCGTGACCGCCCTCTGCCGGGGATGCCCAGAGCACGAACCTCTCCGACGGAGTGCGGGGAGGATACTTCGCCGCCTCGGGGCCGCGCGAGGAGGGGGGAGGCCCTCCCATTCCTACTCCTCCTCCTCCTCCTCCTCCTCCTCCTCCTCCTCCTCCTCCTCCTCCTCCGCTTTTTCCTCCTCCTCCTCCTCCACCTCCCCCTCCCCCCCTCCCCCTCCTCCAGGGTCGGAGGAGGTACTGCTGGTCTTGCGTCCCGTGTGTAATCATCAAAGAGGCAACACGTGACGACCTTTCGGGGAGGAGGAGAAGACAAGGAGGAGGACGAGGAGCAGGAGGAGGACGAGCGCGGCCAAGCTGTAGTCACACTAAATCCTGGCGGGCCCTGTTTCTCGCCCTCTTTTCTGCGCCCTTTCGCTTCCCGCACATGCTGACAACTACAGTGAGGCTGCATCGCCTGCGTCGGCTGTCTCGCCTGTCGGCACCCAGACGCTGCGATCATCCGACCATAGTCCGAGCTGCGTGCCAAAGGGTTCGCGCGGCTTCCGAGGGAGCCAGACGGTTTCCCAGTCAAACGCAGCCCCTAGGCGCGCGGCCTACCGCCCCTGACCCAGAAAGGCTCCACACACTCCTTCCGTCCGCGGCGAGGCGGCGAAATCCGCTCCAGCGAAAGGCCAGATAGGGGCACTCACTGGCGAATTGGCCGGCGAACAAAAAAGAAAAAGGGGAAGGCCGAGAGGAAGGAATGACAGAAAAGCTCCACACACCCATCGCGGGAAACCCAACCCTGGCGTGAACCGTGACGTTCTGGTGGGGGACTTACTAACAATCGTCTCCAGGGTGACTGGCCTCACGCGCCACGCAGCCGCCCCAATAGGGTCCCAGCCTCGGCCTGACCCGGGGGAATCATGCTCGGGTCCCCTGCGCACCCAGGGCCGCCATGGCGAGTGGATGAAGGGACGACATGGTGGCGGAGTAAGACGAGCCAGAGCAGACAGAATCGGACAGGATAGATCGGGAATCACTGAGATCCAGCGGTCTTGGAGACTGTATCGGGCGCGCTGCCTTCACAAAGCGTTCTGGAACGCTCTGGGAGCGTTCCTGAACGATCTGGAAAATTAATCCTTGTCCTAGCCACGCCCGACGAAGCCCCGCTGCAACCAAAGCCAGATGGCTGGATGGGACCACGTGGGGGTGTTCCCCTCGCTGCTAGTCTTTGGCGCCCCACGACTGCGGAGCACTAAGGGAGCCCGACACCCTCTGGGAAGCGATCGTACTCCACGATGGTAATGGATCTCCGCTGCGACCAAAGCCAGATGGCCGCTTGGGGTTGCCCCCTCGCTGCTGGGCACCCAACGACTGGGAGGAGGAGGAGGAGGAGGAGGAGGAGGAAGAGGAGGAGGAGGATGAGGAAGAGGAGGAGCAGGAGGAGGAGGAGGATGAGGAGGAGGGAGGAGGAGGAGGAGGAAAAGGAGGAGGGAGGAGGAGGAGGAGGAGGAGGAGGAGGAAAAGGACGAGGAGGAGGAGGCGCGGCGGACGCGGGTCTCTTCCGCGCGCCCGACGCTCCATAGTCGGGAGCCGGCAGACGCCCCCGCCGCCCAACCCCAAGGGGCGGCACCCCCGGGGGTAACTGCCTGCGAAACATGCAAGCAGCTACTCCCAGGAGGGTGAGGGCTTCTGCCAGCCGGAGCCTCTGGCCAGCATACAAGGGAGCTCGTAGACGAACGCGACCTCCCCGGCCGCCGGCCTGCGCCTCTCCGCGGCGTCGCAGTCGTCGGTGCCCCCCAGTAGCGCCGCCCAGCCGCCGCAGCGCAGTCAGCGGCGCAGTAAGCCAGCAGCGCTCCGCAGCGGGCCCGCGGGCGCGGGGTCGCGCTGGCTGGCGGCCTCGCCAAGCGTCTGGGGCCTGCGGCCAGCTGGCCCGCGCTCTGCAGCCCGGGTGTCGCGCTCGCTAGGCGGTGGCAAGGGCGGCGTCCCCCTCGAGCGGCCTCCGGTGGCGGCGGCGCCGACGCCTGGCGCGCCGCCTAGCGCAGGCCGGCTGCCTTGCGGAGCTGGCGCGCCGTGGCAGCTTGCAGGCCGCAGCTCAGGACCTTGTAGGCCCGCGCCAGCTCCCGCGGCTGCTGTTCCTCAGGCAGGCGTCTTACCTGCCCGAGCAGCCAGAGGCGGGCCTCGGCGCCGAGCCGCCCCCCCGCCTCGAGGACGAAGGGCGTGAGCCGAGCGCCTGGGTAGCGCGCGTGCTTCTCGCGCTCGCCGCGCCTGCTGGCCTCGCCGTCCCGGCGCGCGGCCACGCGCAGCTCGGCTGGCGTGCCGGCTGCGGGGTGGCGAACGGAGACGTCCAGCCACCGGGCCCCGTCGTCTTCCTGGTACTCCAAGTCCAGGATGGCGCGCTCGAGCTGGCCCTCTGGACGCTGGCGGTCCCAAGTCGGTACTCTCTGCTCGAGGAGTGGCCGTTCGCCGCGCCAGCGGTGGAGGAGCCCAGCGACCCTCCGGTTGAGTCCGCCATGGCGCGCCAGCACCCCCCCGCCCCGCTGGCAAGTCAAGGCGTGGTAGCCGCGCTCGTCCAGAGCCCTGGCGCAGCTGGCCCCGTCGGCGCCGCGCAAGCAGCAGGCGGCCCCTGTCGTCGCGAGCTCGCGCTGGCTGAGCTCCGCGCGCGGGAGCTGCAGCCGCCGCCTGGCGCTGGTCTCCCAGTGGGCGTCTTCCAGCGTGCAGAGTTCGTCCTCTGGGTAGGTCAGGTAGGCGCCGCTGCCGCTGCCGGCCGCCCCCCGCAGCTCGGCCTGTCCGGGAAGGTGCAAACGTCGCAGCAGAGCTGCGTGCCGGTTTCTTTGTACCTTCTCAGTTGCCAGGCCTTGCTTCAGGGGCGCCTGCAGCGCAGTCGCCAGGTCCCCGCCCGCGGCGAGCTCCAGCCCTTGGTCTTGCAGCCCTTGCCTCGCAGTGGTCAGTTGCTGGGCCGCCCGCGGCAGCCGTTCCAAGCAGTCTGCCAGCGTCCCGCTGCCCTGGTCCTCCGTGACCTCCCCCGCCGCCAGCGTCCAAGAGGCCAGGAAAGCCGCGTGGCGGCGCGTGGTAGCCAGCTGCGCGTCCAAGCCCCCGAAGCGGGCTGGGAGGCCCAGCAGCTCCTTGGCCGTGTCGCCGAGGTCCCGCCCAAGCAGGTCCTGCCAGCAGCCAGCGAGCAGGTCGTCGTACTGCTCCGTCGCGGCGTCCGTCGCGAGCTCCATTCGCAAGGAGTGCTGGCTTGCCGGGCCTGCGTAGGCGCGGAGGAGGGCTGCCGTCGCGTGCTTCTTGAGCCCTGCCTTGTGCAGTTTCTGAAGCTCTCGGTAAAGCTTCTGTAGCTTCCTCCCAGCTTCGGCGAGGCTGTTCGCTGGCTCCCCGAGGGCTGCCGGCGCGCTGCTGTCGGCGTCGCCCGGCGGTCGCAGGTGCTTGCCGAGCACGGGCAAGCTGTGCACCCAGCAAGCCTGCAGCTCTCCCGTGAGCACGGCTCGCCCAGCTGGGGACCAAGCAGCTGTCTTCCCGGAATTCAGCTTTAGCCCGAGGGGCTGGAGAGCCTGTTGCAGGGCTTGCAGTGCGAGAGCAGCCAGCGGGAGGAGGAGGAGGAGGGGGAGGGGGAGGGGGAGGGGGAGGAGGAGGAGGGGGCCCAGCACCCGCTGGGAAGCGATGGCCGCCAGGGGCCAATGCCGCCCCTCAAGCTGGGGGCAAGAACTCAGACGAACACATTGCGGCGTCGGCTCGAGCCGCACTGGTTCGGCTCGAGCCGCATGAAGGGAAGAGGAGGAGGAGGAGGAGGAGAGGAGGACGACGATGAGAAGGAGGAGGATGGAGGAGGCGGAGGGCGCGCGCGGGTGCACGCAGAGAAGCAAAAAGAAGCTGGAGGAGCAGCCCCATCAGTACCCCAGCGCGCCTTCTTGAGGCCTGCATTCTTGGCGGCCTGGTGCTTCGCCTCCTGGGAGGGGGGACAGATGGTGCAGAGGAGGGCGAACGAGGGTGTGGAGGTGAGGAGGAAGGGGAACAGGCTACAACCATCGTGCTGCTAACACAAGGAGCGTTGCACAAGGAGCGAAGAAACTCATTCGTCTGACCACGGTGGCCTCGGCCATGAACAGGTCCACCGACCTGGATCCCAGGAGCGACCTGACAACCAGAGCCCCGCCTGAGCCTGAAACTATCCTTAGTTCGGCATCTTCAGCGTACGTAGGTGCGTTCGCGCCTGTACGGCAATATCACCGCCATGGGGGATAAGGTGCGGCAATTCGTTCTACAGGCCCGTGAGCGCCGCACGTCTGATCGGTATTGCCCCGTCGAGACACACGTTCCACGCGGAACCTTTGACGGGGAGTGGCGGTCCAAAGCCAACAACACGGCGCTGGAAGTGTTTGCCAACCCCGCAAGATCTACAGGCAGAGCACGCACGGCCCCAGGCGCCGAACGAGCGACCGAGGGAGGGGAGTGGAGCGACTGGCCACCTGTAGATTCACTCGTGCCTGCCACAATAGTCCCTTGCTAAGTTTCAATCCGACGGCCAAGCGACCACCGACGGATTCACAACTGCGCGCATTCACATGCCTGGATCTTCGTATCGTGTCACTTCATATCTGCTCACTTCCGTGCAAATGTTTAGCCGACCAGGGGCATTCCTAGTGTCGCTTCAACTACTATATGTTTTGGTTGGCGACCTCAGCGTGCCAGCAGCAGTTCTCACATCGCGAGGCTTCCTCTCGAGTCGACGGCCTGGTGGTCCACACACCCATCGACTACACGTGCGACGCTGGAAAGAAAGGGGGCCGCATGGATTCGGTCGTCGCCTATCTGGCGCGAGTCGAGGCCATGGCGGCGGCGCCGTGGAAGACACGCTGCGGCCGACGTATCACCATGCGCGCATTTGGCAAGCACCTCATCCCTAGATGCATTCCTCTTCCTGCACGGCCGCCGCGAGCTGGGCGACCGCAGCAGGGGCCCACATCTGAATCCAAGACACAGGTCCAGAAGCAGCGACATCGAGTCAAGCGTGAGTTGGTTGTCACGAGGCGCAAGGAACGCGACGACGAGCGTTTTGGCGATCCGTGGCCTGTCCCGATCGCGACTTCCGACGCTGCACGTGCTGGCGTGGACGCAGAGCCTGGCCGCGAGCCCGAGCCAGAATTCATACAGGATGAACTCGACGACTCTGAATAAGATCCATGGGCCAGCGCGCCCAACTGTTGTGCTGGTCTCGAGATGAAGCATGCCAATGGCATCTGTGCTGCTCGTGCACCCCATCTGGGAGTCGCCGATGCGGAGCAGACTCTTGGTCACGCCGTCGTGGTCGAGAGTACGCCTGCAAGAGATTGCCTCACGTCGTTTCTGGGAGCCGCTGATCTGGGAATGCAGCTCGAGGCAGGGCCCAGTCAGGCGGATACCCCGTCGATGCAGGAAGTTTCGCAGTCTGCCAGTGCTTTCGAATGGAATACTTCAGCACCTGAGTTTCAAATGCCTGAATGTTGCGCGCAGGAGACAGCACCGCCTACTGACAATCGACTTTGGGCTTGATATCGTAATTCGCCGATTTTTCACATTGCCACAATACTCGCCTTCCATCACATGAGGCAGTGTCACTCTGTATGCTGATGAATCGTCCACAAGCGAGGTCCCCCACAGCATCCAGCGAGTTTCAAGAGCCGCTCCCCCCCCCCCAGACGAAGGTGATGCCAAAATCTGTTTCCCTATCCCTGACGATATCTGGATGAGTTCCCGCTCTGATGTGGGTCTGTTCTCTGCCAGCGACTGATCCTCGCCTGCTGCCTTTGCGTCGTCCGTGGCCGCTAACTCGGGCGTGACTCAACCGAAACCGCCCCGTTGCTGCATGCGTCGCGGGCTACACCGTCGGAGCGGCCGGCGCCGAAACGTCATGGGGTGGTGGGGCCCCGATTCTTGTGGTTTGCTAAAGGGCATCAGTTTGTCGTCCGGGAAGTTCTACTACCAACGCAAAAAAGGACAGTCCCATAGCGCGACTGGCTTACGTCTTGGCGGGAAAACATGCGCACGATTTTACGATCTCGAAAAATGCACTGTCATCACGTTCGATGTAAGGGTATCATCCAGCAGCAATGTATCGAACAAACATGTAAGCAACGTGGAGGTGGGCGGGGGCGGGAAACTCGCCATACCATGGTCATCGTGGGCGTTGTGTCTGGGAAAGTTGGGGAAGACGGTTACTCCCTAGTGCCAGCCAGGTGGGTATAAATCCAAATTGATTCTTGTAGACACAACGGAAAAATCGTATCGCCTGGAGATGTCGGGGAAGGGCGTCACGTGCTTCGTTTTCCGAAATCAAAGAATGGATCGTAGCACCAAGTGCAACAGGTGTGACGCACAGAGCTACGAGGCAAGGTCAGACTCGTGCCGACGTAATCATCGAGAAGACCACCGCGCTCTGTCTCATCATCGGGACATCGTCGAATACGGGAACAAAGCGATTTGGGATCTCTGGGCGCTTGCAAGGGGATGCCGGGAGGAGAGGATGCTGGACGCATTCGGCAAGGCGCGCGTGGCAACGCGGGCTGATCCTCTCGAACCTTCTGTCGGTGCAAGAGAAAGCGAACAGCCGGCGACATGAAGGCGAGGGCAAGGCCAGAAGACGCTCTAAGCCCGACAGACTTCGAGCGAATGCCCGATATTGCACTCTCCGAACGTGCACAACCATACGCAATCATCATAGAGATGCTCGAGGGGCCGACAGGACGGTTGTTGCATAACAAAAATGTCGGGGGATCGTGCAAGTGGTCTCTTGCCGATGACTGCCCAACATGGAATTCTGAAAAGAAGGCCGCACGACATCTTGAGCGTCGGAGTCCGAACGAGCGAGGGATGCCGCAATCCTCGGACACGCAGCCTTGAGGGAAACTGCCCTGCGGCCATGCGAAAACATGTCCCAGCAGCCCCACATCTGGTCTGGGCACGGGCTATTCGATATCCAGGGGTGTAGGATTCGATGCAATGGTTTGCCTACAGTAATGCGATGGGAACACCCGCCAACAATTATTGTTCTTAAGCAGTCGCAATGCGTTACGCAACGGACGCTGGGACCAACGGGGACCTGCGCAGAACCGACATACCCCGCGCGGCCTTTCCAGGGCCTCCGAGGTCAGGTCAGGTCCTAGATGGTGCGTAGGCAAGGTGAGACTCGAAGGGCGGCCTGGTGGCTGGATGCCTTCAGCATCCGGGCCAACCTTTGGCTGCCCGCCCCCGCGCGCGAGGCGCGCGCCCTCTGGGCGGAAATAGGCAGAGAGGCGCCCGTGCGAGCCAACGACTTCCAGACGCATGTTCCAAACTGAATTTCCCCACGCCTGTCGCGATCTGCCTGGCGAGTCCAGCAGCTCATGCGCTGAAACTCTGACAAGGTCCGTTCCTGGTCAGCGCGCAAGTTGGCCCATGAAAATCATGTGCAGCCGGGCAAGGCAATCACTCAATTTGGACTGGTTCGATATGCTCAAGAGAATAACAGTGGCCATCAAGCTGATGAATGACGGCTGGCTCCCACTAGCAACAATCGTCTCATCCCCTCAGGAAAACGTGCATTTTTTACATATCCGCCTCTTCGTCTTTCACAACTTTCAAGGCGGTCCAAGAGGCCCCCAAGAAGATCCCCCCAAGACGGCCCGAGAGACCCTCTAGACCGCTCAAAGACGGCCCAAGAGCGCTCCAAGAAGGCCTAAGAAACCCTCAAGAATTTTTTTGCGGAGCCCAGGGGGGCTCCAAATCAGTCCAAGAGGGGCCCACGAAGCCCTCCAGACGGTCCAAGAGAGCCGGGAGACGCCGAAATATCACCCCCAAGCGCCTACGATGGCCTCAAGACGGCCCAACAGGCCTTCAAGACGCCCCAAGAGGTCCCTAAGCGGCGCCCCAAGAGGGCTCCCACAAACAAAAATCGTCTCATTCCATTGGGAAAACGTGCATTTTTTACATATCCGCCTCTTCGTCTTTCACACCTTTCAAGGCGGTCCAAGAGGCCTCCAAGATCCCCCCAAGACGGCCCGAGAGACCCTCAAGACCGCTCAAAGACGGCCCAAGAGCGTTCCAAGAAGGCCCAAGAAACCCTCAAGACGGTCCAAGAGGCCCCAAGACGGCCCCATGATTGAGGTCCACAGGGGCAACCTGAACGGAAATGTTGAGCTCCCGCCCAAACACGCCCCCGAAGTGCCCCTACAAGCCCCCAAGTAGCCCCACGAAGCCCCCAAGAGAGCCCCAAGAGGCCCCCAACGGGCCCCAAGAGGCCCCCAAGAGGCCCCCAAGAGACCCCCAGGAAGCTCCCAGGAGGCCCCCAAGAGGCCAGGCAGACCCCCCCAAGAGACCACCAAGAGGGCCCACCCAGAGCCATCCACGAGGCCTCCCAAAGTTCCCAAGAAGCTCCCACGAAGCTTTCAAGGGCTCCCAAGACCCCCCAAGATCCCGCGATGGCACAATACGGGCCGGCGGAATGAGAGAAACGATTTAATAACATTGGCCATCAAGCTGATGAATGACGGCTGTATCCTGAAGCCCCTCAAAGGCATCTGTCCTGAAAACTGCCCCATCTGCGCCGCGCTGCCTTGTTGAGGCATGCCACGAACAGTGCGTGCATCAACGTCGACGCCGCGCGGGCGTTGGATATCTCCACCTTCTGCTTCCCCCAATGACAGAATGAGACCTAATCGTGCGCAATATTTGAAAGTGGCGCTTTGCACTTCCAATCCCCCCGCTGAAAAAAAACTGCGCCCTCGCGAATCAGCAACTCCGCACTGACGACGCATTCACCGCGTTCTCGTTGGTCTAGACCATCATTGCTTCGACCTCGTCCCCAATAATTTGCAATCCATTTTGCGCCCCGTAACTCTCGACGCAGCACGTGAGTTTCTGGGCTGTTGCCGACGAGGAGCGCGTCACCTGCGCGAGCCAAATCTTGCGCTGCACCGCGCGGCGCTTCTTCTT